ACAACAATTAAAAACAAACTCTCTTTTCCATTTCCAATTTTAAATTACTTATTTTCTAGACTTCCTCATACCTCCCTCTTTTGTATTCCAGTCCACATTATTTGTCCAGCAGTTTCTTTTCCACTTTTTTAATCCCAATCTTTAATTTAATAAAATGTTAAAATATATAACTTCAACTTTTTTAAACCTAATCCTTGATCTTAATATCATATAACTTTAAAGTTTTCCCTTTTAATATCAAATTTCCATTTCTTTAAACATCTTTAATCTTGATCTTTAATCTTAATCTATCCTTAACTTTAACCTGTGCAGCTGGAAACCACTTGTTTTCAGTCCAACATCACTCTAACATTCCTTAATTTTGCAGTGTTTCTGAAGATAGTCTTTGAATTTCTTCCAGTCTTCCTCCATCGACTCTTCTCCCTGGTCACGGATTCTACCAGTCATTTCAGCCAGTTCCATATAGTCCATAAGTTTCATCTGCCATTCCTCCAGCGTGGGAAGTTCTTGTGTCTTCCAATACTTTGCGATGAGTATTCTTGCTGCTGTTGTTGCATACATAAAGAAAGTTCTATCCTTTTTAACACCATTTGGCCGACTATGCCCAGGAGAAAGGCCTCTGGTTTCTTAGGGAAGGTATACTTAAATACCTTTTTTAATTCATTATATATCATTTCCCAGAAAGCCTTAATCTTTGGGCACGTCCACCAAAGGTGAAAAATTGTACCTTCAGTTTCTTTACATTTCCAACATTTGTTATCGGGCAAGTGATAGATTTTCGCAAGCTTGACTGGGGTTATGTACCACCTGTATATCATTTTCATAATATTCTCTCTTAAGGCATTACATGCCGTAAATTTCATACCTGTGGTCCATAACTGTTCCCAGTCAGCAAACATAATGTTATGTCCAACGTCCTGTGCCCATTTAATCATAGCCGATTTTACCGTTTCATCTTGAGTATTCCATTTCAGCAGCAAGTTATACATTCTTGACAAATTCTTAGTCTTGGGTTCTAACAATTCTGTTTCTAATTTGGATCTTTCCACCTGGAAGCCAATTTTCCTGTCCAATTTAAATACCTCCATTATTTGATAATAATGAAGCCAGTCTCGCACTTTGTTTTTTAGTTTTTCAAAACTCTGCAATTTCAGTCTATCTCCGTCTTGTTCCAAAATTTCCCGATATTTCAGCCATTTGACCTCCATATTGACCTTTTTCAAGGCTTTCGCTTCCATTGGTGACAGCCACCTTGGGGTTTTATTTTCTAGCAAATCCTTATATCTTATCCAAACATTAAACAGCGCTTTCCTGACAATGCGGTTTTTAAATGCTTTATGTGCTTTGACCTTATCATACCATAAATATGCATGCCATCCAAATACATTATTAAAACCTTCTAGATCCAAAATGTCAGTGTTTTCAAGAAGTAGCCATTCTTTCAACCAGCAAAAGCTGCTGATTCATAGTACAGTTTAAGGTCTGGCAGGGCAAATCCACCTCTTTCCTTTGCATCCGTTAGTATTTTAAATTTTATTCTGGGTTTCTTGCCCTGCCAGACAAATTTAGAAATATCTTTCTGCCACCTCTTGAAACAATCCATTTTGTCCACGATCTGCAAAGTTTGAAACAAAAACAACATTCTGGGCAGTACATTCATTTTTATCGCAGCAATACTGACCTAGCAGTGAAAGCTTCAAATTTGACCAAATTTCTAAATCTTTTTCACTTCTGACCAACATTTTTCATAGTTGTCTTTAAATAAATTCCCATTTTTTGCTGTCATGTTAATCCCCAGGTATTTAACTTTTTTAACCACTGTTAAACCTGTCTCATTCTGAAACCTCTCTCTTTCAAACGGTGTTAAATTTTTCTCTAAAACCTTGGTTTTGGACTTGTTCAATTTAAATCCTGCCACTTGACCAAATTCTTGCAGACCAATACATTTGGCACCAGCCTGGCTGCAGGAATTGCTGGAAGGAGGCGTACCAGGCGCCATCCAACCGCCTTAGGGACTCCATTCTGAATTTGTGTAGGGTTTACTCCTGAGACTTTTCTTCTCCTGAAGATATCCCATGAGGCAGCGGATGTTTAGGATCCGAATTTTCCTTCTTCTAGATGGGATTCCATGATTAGAGCAATGCAATTTTAAGTGGGAAACAAGCCTGGGAGCCCAGAGTCTACATGAGGAGCTACCCTGTGGAGCTGTGAGATGGTGCAGCCATTTGCCTGGAGCCAACCCTAATGAGTCCATGATTGTTGTGTCCGACTCTTCGTGGCCCCCTCGACCAGAGCACGCCAGGCACTCCTGTCTTCCACTGCCTCCCGCAGTTTGGCTCATGCTGGTAGCTTCGAGAACACTGTCCAACCATCTTGTCCTCTGTCGTCCCCTTCTCCTTGTTCCCTCCATCTTTCCCAACATCAGGGTCTTTTCCAGGGAGTCGTCTCTTCTCATGAGTTGGCCAAAGTCTTAGAGCCTCAGCTTCAGGATCTGTCCTTCCAGTGAGCACTCAGGGCTGATTTCCTTCGGAATGGAGAGGTTTGATCTTCTTGCAGTCCATGGGACTCTCAAGAGTCTCCTCCAGCACCAGAATTCAAAAGCATCCATTCTTTGGCGATCAACCTTCTTTATGGTCCAACTCTCACCAAGACTTCCATACATCACTAGGTATTGGACTTAGCATTGCATTCTCCCATACTATTTTGTAGAGGTGAGCCATTGCCATAGCTGCTGTTATGAGGGTGGGAAACTGCTCCTTTTCCCTTATGGGGTACCCAAGAGCCCATATAGAGTCATTTTGTGGGTTCTCTATCGGTAGGAGAAAATAACAGAGACCAACCAGAGAATATCGAGAAGCAAAGCAGCTAGTAAGCCTGATCTTTATTAAAGCTGTTGCAACAGGGTGCTCCCCCACACACACAGGAGGGGGGAGAGACCCTGAGCCATGCGCGCAAACCCTTATATAGACATTTTAAATTGCCCACCATGTAGCTCAAGTCTACCCCCCAGATACATCATACCTACATCACAGAAGAGGCGGTCTACAGAAGAAAACCTGTCTACCAGGTTACCTGGAAATGCTAACTGATTGCATTATTTGGGCAGTCCGGCAATTCCTTTGTAATAGTAAATACTCAATTCCTGAGTCCGGGTCACAGGCTCGCCCTATTCATATCTTAAATGTGCCCTTAAGACAGGATTTGTGAAGAGACAATGGGGAGATTTCCCATTTCCTTTGACCTTGCAGAGAAATATTTGAGGTCATTATGGGAGAGAGAAAATGGTTTCAGGACTTTTCTGTGGGTTTCAGACATGTGGTTTACATATTTGTATGTGTTGGCTTGGTACATTTATGAACATCTATTTTATATATATAAGACCTCAAAATTCTTATAACATTGCCTTGCTAATGTGCTTGTCCAGCTCAGCATCGATGAAGGAGCTGCTGGTTATGGTGGAACCCAGGTAGATAAAATCGTCTACAAGCGTGTGATGCATGGGGTGCTGGTGATGTCTGGACCCAGGTCCTCATCAGTAAGGCCAAACTCCTTGCAGACTTGGGCAAAATGGTTGAGGCGTCTGTGTAGAGCTTCCTCAGAGTGCGTTCTCAAGGCTGCATGATCTGCATCATCCCTAGATCTTCTGAGAGCATATTCCACAGTTTTCTCTGCCCTGTATTTTTTCAACATTCATTTTCAGTGTGTTACGGAAATTACAGGGGGTGGCCACATCTTTAAAGTTGTTAAATGTTACAAATATTATGCCTGAATGTTTCCTTTCGACTTCTCAGGGAAGTTACCTAGCTTTAAAAATCATATAAAATCAATTCCTTTGCCAGTTTCCTCCATTACAACGCTATTTTGCCCTTGAAAAAAGGACTCCAGGAAGCGCCCAGAGGTGACAATTGCTGAGTTGACTGTTGGCCAAGGAAAGCCTAATCCCATCACCAGACTTGCCAAGAATCCAGACATGCAAAGGAACTTCTATTGTACTTTGGGTGGTGGTAAGGCATCAGATCAAGGTCTGCATTTTAAAATGAGCTTTAAAAATATATTTGTAAATGTTTGTATCTCTCATGCCAGGCAGAAACCAGCTGGCTAAGTACTTTCGCAGATGTTTATCTTCCTAAACAGGGCCCCTCTGATCTATAGCAGTACTTCAGGGTTGTAAAAGGAAATTACAGGCTGGGAGCAAAAGGTCACACTGACCATACAAATTACAGAATACAATCAAGCTGCAAAAAACACTAATTAAGAGTTGGTAAATAGTGAAATTTATTGTTTAACAGATAATACCATGTGTCTCCCATTAGACTTGAGCCATATCTTCCTAAGGTTAAAGGGCAAGAGCTAATAGAAACAGCAGCTGGCTTGAAAGGGGGGTGTAGATCTAAGGGGTTGCTTTTGGAAACTGTTTTTATTAAAGTTCCTTTTTACTTTGAAAAGGCCTTTCCTTCTAAAAATCTATGTTATGTATGAAATATATTGGCTTAAATGTAATTATGCAAAGGATCTAGAAAGTAAGAAATGTTAGATTCTTATGTTAGATTCTTATTTCATTGATGGTGTGTGAGAAGGTGAACCCAAGATCTCTGTTTAAGATAAAATTAAAACCATCTGTTTTGGAGTGAATAGGGCAATAGGGCAATAGGGCAATAGGGCAAAGATGATCTGATAATTAAGGTGCCTGGTTGAGGCAAATGTAAGATATATGGCTACTTGTCTGCCATTTATGGATAAAAGGAAATATAGCTCTTTGTCTCCCATAAAAGGTAATAGGAAATGGGTGTATCTTTTATGATTGGTTCTAGCAAACAGCCAATAGGAATTTCAACCAGGCTGATTGGACAGAGGCAGCCAAAGGAGGAGCAAGGGGGCTGGGCTGAGGAAATATAAGTGCTGGCCATCAGGGCTGGAGTAGGCAGAGCTTTGGTATCCATATACCACTGTGTCTCTCATTTATTTGTCTGACAAATAAATTATTATTTTAATTTCTCTATTGCTGCGTTGAATATTTCATTCCAGCTAAGCGTTAACCACAAGCAGGGTGCTACAGTGGGACTTCAGAGGTGTTTGCCTATGCTAATCTTATACCTGGGTCTTGCCCTGACATATCTGCTTATGCTAATCTTGGACCAAGGACTTGTCTAGACATGTTTGCCAAAGTGAAGCTAGCGTAACCCCTGTCTACCTCTCCCCTTTTGTGACATGTCAGTGATGTAAAGATGAAGTATCAATGATGTTGTATGAACTGTATTCTGGGATATGGTGGGAAGTTTTAAAAGCCAATGTTGCCCCACGCTCTGGGTTCTTACTGCTGTTTGAACCTGTTGTGCAACAATAAAGGATCTAAGTCTGCTGTTTTGCTCCAAATTACTTGGCTGGAATTTCCTTCTTTTACTGACCGCATGGACCCGCGGGGGACGTGGACCCCAACGAGCTGGGCTGTTGAGTAGTCTCTCACCCCAGAATTTTCCTTAACAAGTGGATAGTCCCAAGTAATAGGAATAGCAGTAGTAGTAATAATAATAATAAGTATAAATATAAGTATACTGCCTATATCAGGGCGGTTCACAACATAAAATTACAAGACAAAAACCACAAGATTCATAACAAATACATAAGTAATTGCTAAAAACTGGAAAAAAGAAACTGTTCTAACAAAAAAGGAATGGCAAGACAAACTGTTAGAGTATATTGAACTGGCTAGATTAACAGAGGCATTTAGAGGTCACACTAGACAAGAGTTTCAAAAAGCATGGGGGAAATGCAGAGAATACTTCACAAAACAGTGCCCTAAAATACATACCTGGACTTGTTTCGATTAATGTCTGCAGGAAACTTTGTGGATGTTTAAGTTATAATTAGAAAAATATTAATAATTATTCATAAAGGAAACAGCTTATAAGAAGTAAAGAAGGAGGCCAGATACAGAATAAAGGAAGTCTTTTATTTCGTTGTTTGTATTGTTGTATGTTATGCTCACTGTATGTTATGTTCACGTTTAATGAGGGTGGATTGTGTATGGGGTGGGGGGGTGATGATATGTTGTAAATAAAATTCCAATAAAATTAAAACAAAAACAAAGACAACCCAATAATCCCCACTTCCATAACACATTTTAAAAGGGCATTGGATGTCAATTAACCAACGGCCTGGTTAAAGAGGAACGTTTTCGCCTGGCGCCTGAAGGTGTACAATGAAGGCACCAGCCATGGGCGTAGCCAGGATTTTTGTTGGGGGGGGGCAGGCCTTTTGTTAGCAGGGGAAGAACCTCAGTTTGCTTTGTATTTTTATTGGTTTAGGGGGAGGCAGCTGCCTCTCCCTGCCCCCCCCAGCTACAATCATGGCGCCAGCCGAACCTCCCTAGAGAGAGCATTCCCCAAACGGGGAGCCACTGCAGAAAAGGCCTATTCTCATGTTGCCAACCTGTGGCCCTCTCCTGGAGGAGGTACATGACCAAGTGCCTCGGAGGATGATCTCAGGGTCCAGGTAGGTTCATATGGAGAAAGGCAGTGCTTTTCTTTTGGGGGGGGAGGGCTGCATACCCTTGCATACTGCCAGATAAAAAACACTGGAGAGAGGTATGGTGGTCCTGAGACGTTAATATGAGAGAGGATGAAGAGAGTTTCTCTATCTACTTTCTCCACACTATGCCTAAGAGCCAGTGTGGTGTAGTGGTTAAGAGTGGTAGACTCGTAATCTGGTGAACCGGGTTCGATTCCCCGCTCCTCCACATGCAGCTGCTGGGTGACCTTGGGCCAGTCACACGTCTCTGAAGTCTCTCAGCCCCACTCACCTCACAGAGTGTTTGTTGTGGGGGAAGAAGGGAAAGGAGATTGTTAGCTGCTTTGAGACTCCTTTGGGTAGTGATAAAGCGGGGTATCAAATCCAAACTCCTCCTCCTCCTAATCTTACACACCTCTGTCCTGTCCCTTTGTCCTCACCTGTGCTCTAATGGTTCGTCCATCCTTCCACTTCTACTGCCGCTTTCTCCTGGGAAATCCTTCTCCTTACTGCTAAATCAGAGCAAACATCAGTCGGGTTTTCTGTGGACGAAACAAAATAAAAAAATTTCTTCCAGGAGCACCTTAAAGGTAAAAGGACTCCTGACCATTAGGTCCAGTCATGGCTGACTCTGGGGTTGTGGCACTCATCTCGCTTTATTGGCCGAGGGAGCCGGCGTACAGCTTCTGGGTCATGTGGCCAGCAGAGCAGCACATGAAAATGCCATTTACCTTCCCGCCGGAGTGGTACCTATTTATCTACTTGCACTTTGATGTGCTTTCGAACTCCTAGGTTGGCAGGAGCATGGACCGAGCAACGGGAGCTCACCCCGTCACGGGGATTCAAACCACCGACCTTCTGATCGGCAAGCCCTAGGCTCTGTGGTTTAACCCACAGCGCCACCCGCGTCCCAGAGACCAACTAAGTTAGTTATTGGTATGAGCTTTCGTGTGCATGCACACTTCTTCTTCAGATACTTCTTCAGTTTTCTGTGGATTGATGTTTGCTCTGATTCAGCAGTAAAGAACAGGTTTCCCGAGGGAAAGCGGCAGGAAATCCATTCCTACTCCTGCTTTCTAGGCATGAGATAAGCAAAGTGTGGATGAGCTCAAAAGCTCCAAGTGCTACAACTCTTCTTCCTAGGAGAGCTGCTCCATCCCATTGGTTGTTTTGGTTGCCCTGTTCCAACTCTGCAATATCCTTTCTGAGGCAAGGTGGCCAGAGCTGTACACAGCCTTCCAGGCACAGTCGCTGTATGAAACCCTCAGAGGACAAGGCAATATTGGGCTCCCTGCCCTCCAAGACTGAAGTTTGCACAACGCAGACTTGACCCTTCAGGTCAGCTTCTGGGGATGGCGAGGATTATGCTGGATTTTAATACTGAAGAGGCACAGAGGGCAACAGCTTAATGAGACGAATAGGGATTAATAATCAACTCCCGACGTTGGTTACATAACAATGCATTAATAATGTAAACCTCTTACATCATTAATACCTGATTATATGCTACCTCCCTATAGACACTAGGCCCTGTTTATAGAGAAAGGCTGGAGCCAGGGGAAATGGGGAGTATAAATAAATATAAGGGGTAGGTGGGGCTTGTCCACCTGGGAAGGGAGCCCATGTAGGAGAAGACAAAATAAAACAAAATCTTCCAGATCTAGGGCTGCCTTCAGATGTCTTCTAAAGGATGCAAAGTTATAGATCTCCTTGGCTCAGGCGTTGCATAACTCCAGACCCTCCAATGAAAACAGGGACATCCAAACCACAGAGCCTAGGACTTGCTGATCAGAAGGTAGGCAATTCGAATCCCTGCGACGGGGTGAGTTCCCGTTGCTCGGTCCCTGCTCCTGCCCACCTAGCAGTTCGAAAGCATGTCCAAGTGCAAGTGCAAGTAGATAAATAGGTACCACTCCAGCGGGAAGGTAAACGGCGTTTCCGTGCGCTGCTCTGGTTTCGCCAGAAGCGGCTTAGTCCTGCTGGCCACATGACCTGGAAGCTGTGCACCGGTTCCCTCGGCCAATAAAGCGAGATGAGCGCCGCAACCCCAGAGTTGGCCACGACTGGACCTAATGGTCAGGGGTCCCTTTACCTTTGTTGTTGTTTAGTCGTGTCTGACTCTTCGTGACCCCATGGACCAGAGCACGCCAGGCACTCCTGTCTTCCACTGCCTCCTGCAGTTTGGTCAAACTCATGCTGGTAGCTTCGAGAGCACTGTCCAACCATCTCGTCCTCTGTCGTCCCCTTCTCCTTGTGCCCTCCATCTTTCCCAACATCAGGGTCTTTTCCAGGGAGTCTTCTCTTCTCATGAGGTGGCCAAAGTCTTGGAGCCTTAGCTTCAGGATCTGTCCTTACTTTTATCTAAGGAAAAGCGGGACATTCCAGGATCAAATCAGAAACCAGGGCAGCTTCTGTAAATCCAGGACTGTCCCTGGAAAATAGGGACACTTGGGTGATCTGCCATAGGCCTGATCCACAAGGCTCTTCTTAGATTCTTATGTCTCTTGCCCACTGGTTAGAATGCCATGATGTCACACTCCTGTCTTCCTCTTGGGATTCCAAGGATCTAAACAGGTAATCCCTTTTCCTGCTTTGTGGGCTGGTCGCCATCCTCATCTTAAGCGGCTCTGGTCAAGAATGGTGGCTTATCTGGGCCGCACACCTTCTGAACTTCCTTGTGGCACTGTGCCCCCACCCTGCCCCTAGGGCCTGTCTAGGGCTACTAGTCATTGCCTGTGGCTGCCTGTGGCAAAAGTGGCTGGCCCCAGCTGCACCCACAATGCTGTGGGGCCTGGAAAATGAAGCCACGTGAGTTTGGTTGGCTAGGCTGGTTCCAAGCCAGGAACCACGGAAGAAAGGCAGAGGTGGAAAGGAAACATGGCTCTGTCCCATGGAAGTCCAAGGAGGAAGCATTGATACTAATAGGGCTTGCAGCCCCATAAACATATGGAAATTAGAACAGCCTTCTGGATTAGGGCAATGGCCCATCTGGTCCAGCCTCCCGTGGGACCTTCAGCCTTCTCTGGATGCACTTTAAGTGGTCAACTGCTCACTGGCAGGGAATGCAGGTCCTGAGTTGAACCCCTGGTGTGTGTTTTTCATTTTTTAAGTTCTAGGGGTAGCAGGGCTGCCAAATAACTCTCCATCCCTGAAGTTTTTAAGAGAGCTGCCTGCCAGTCAGAGAATACCGTATTTTTTGCTCTATAAGACTCACTTTTTCCCTCCTAAAAAGTAAGGGGAAATGTGTGTGCGTCTTATGGAGCGAATGCAGGCTGTGCAGCTATCCCAGAAGCCAGAACAGCAAGAGGGATCGCTGCTTTCACTGCGTAGCGATCCCTCTTGCTGTTCTGGCTTCTGAGATTCAGAATATTTTTTTTCTTGTTTTCCTCCTCGAAAAACTAGGTGCGTCTTGTGGTCTGGCACGTCTTATAGAGCAAAAAATACGTACCTTTCTGGGATAGATGACAGACTGGCCTGACCTGAGCAAGGGCTTACATATCCTATAACAGGGGTAGGCAACCTAAGGCCCAGGGGCTGAATGTGGCCCAATCTCCTTCTCAATCCGGCCCATGGACAGTCCGGGAATCAGCGTGTTTTTATATGAGTAGAATGTGTCCTTTTATTTAAAATGCATCTCTCGGTTATTTGTGGGGCCTGCCTGGTGTTTTTACATGAGTAGAATGTGTGCTTTTATTTAAAATGCATCTCTGCGTTATTTGTGGGGCATAGGAATTGGTTCATTATTTTTTTCCAAAATATAGTCCGGCCCCCCACATGGTCTGAGGGACGGTGGACCGGCCCACGGCTGAAAAAGGTTGCTGACCCCTATCCTATAACTTCTTTGGCAGCAGTACTTTGTGGCTAGTCAGGGTTAAGCTGCTACGATGTCGTTTTGATTTTATTTATTTAATTAAGCTATTTCTATACTGCTTAACTGCCAAAGTTTCTAAGCGGTAAATATATAGATTAATTTTTAAGAAGAACATACAATATGATGGATAAGCGCCATTAAAATTAATCAGAAAAACAGAAAGTTGATTCAGCACTATATATTTGGTGCATTTAAAATGTATCTCAATCATCAACATCATCATTATTCATTAAATTTATATACTGACTTTCATTGGAGGATCACAGGGTGGTTTACAGTATAGAAACCACAAAAATATAACATGAGGCAAACTAAGCAATACCCCTCCAGTTTAATAGGCCATACATTGTTTAACAGCCTTGTGCCTACAGGTGAGTCTCCCAGGGGAGAGAATCCCACAAATCCCACAAGCGCATCCCCCTACAGAAAAGCCCCATTCTCATGTTGCCATCCTTGGAACCTCCCCTTTATGTTGCTTTCATCACTTTTAAAATGTGGTGGTCTCTCCAGTGTGGTGATCTCTCTCTCCAGAGAGCCAGTGTGGTGTAGTGGTTAAGAGTGGTAGTCTCGTAATCTGGGGAACGGGGTTCGCGTCTCCGCTCCTCCACCTGCAGCTGCTGGGTGACCTTGGGCCAGTCACACTTCTCTGAAGTCTCTCAGCCCCACTCACCTCACAGAGTGTTTGTTGTGGGGGAGGAAGGGAAAGGAGAATGTTAGCCACTTTGAGATCCTTTGGGTAGTGATAAAGCGGGATATCAAATCCAAACTCTTCTTCTTCTTCTTCTCCTACATCATCCCTGATGCCTTAGGAGTCTGAATGGCTGAGCAGCAGGAGCTGGTCCCCTCTCGCCTTTCCAAGGCTAATGGGGGCTGGACCTTGTGGGGCTGCCCCCACCAAGAAACCCTAAACCATTCCCTTCCTCTCCAGATCAACGGTTGCCCAGGACTGTGGGGATTGATTCCTCCCTATTTCCAGGGATCTTTTCTGCAGCAGCTGAGCTCCCGCAGCACCACCATGGTGAAAGAACCGGTCCGCATCGTACCCTTGTGGAGGGAACTCCAAGGCCAGCTTTTCCACAAGCTTCAGATGGTAATGCAGAACCACTGTCCTCTGATGAGAACAGGATTTTCTCCCCGTGATTTGGGGGCTGGAAGGGAGGGTGTGTGCATGCATGAAAGACAGGCACAGAGATGGTCCCAGAAAGTAACTGGCTCAATCCTTGCTGTGTCAATTCTGTGTCCAGGGCAGCTGTCTACCAGCTCCATCTGGTACGCAGGATGAGACCCTACCTGCCCACCGACTGTCTCGCCAGAGTGGTGCATGCTCTGGTTATCTCCCGCTTGGACTACTGCAATGCCCTCTACGTGGGGCTACCTTTGAAGGTGACCTGGAAACCACAACTAATCCAGAATGCGGCAGCTAGACTGGTGACTGGGAGCAGCCGCCGAGACCACATAACACCGGTTTTGAAAGACCTACATTGGCTCCCAGTACGTTTCCAAGCACAATTCAAAGTGTTGGTGCTGACCTTTAAAGCCCTAAACGGCCTCAAAGGCCCAGTATCCCTGAAGGAGCGTCTCCACCTCCATCGTTCTGCCCGGACACTGAGGTCCAGCGCTGAGGGCCTTCTGGCGGTTCCCTCGCTGCGAGAAGCCAAGTTGCAGGGAACCAGGAAGAGGGCCTTCTCGGTAGTGGCGCCCGCCCTGTGGAACGCCCTGCCACCAGATGTCAAAGAGAAAAATAACTACCAAACTTTTAGAAGACATCTAAAGGCAGCCCTGTTTAGGGATGCTTTTAATGTTTAATAGGTTATTGTATTTTAGTGTTTTGTTGGAAGCCGCCCAGAGTGGCTGGGGGGACCCAGCCAGATGGGTGGGGTATAAATAATAATAATAATAATAATAATAATATTATTATTATTATTATTATTATTCTGCCAGGCAGCTGAAGGCTGTTTTATTCCAGTTGTCCTTGGGAACTGACTACTTTTTAATAAAAAGGCCTTTATCTTAATAATACTGTGGGGGATATTGATAAGAAAACAGCAGCAGCAGCCAGTTCCTTCCTTCTGGCCTTCAGTCAACTGTCACTGAGCAGCAGCCTTGGCTGTGCCTGCCACCCCAACGCCAAGGTGGCATGAATGCGGACCCTGTGCTGTGAGTGGCGCAGGCACATTCCGGTTCTGCTCTCCCCCTGCCAGCCCCACTGTCTTTTCCCTCCTCTGGGCAGGGCGCGCAGGAGGTGACAGAAGGATCCAACATCATGCTGAGCGACAGGCCCACCATCATATTCCGGAAGAGCAGCTCCCCCAACTTCATGCCGGTCATCTGCCACTATTCGGGTGAGGCAGGACACTACTTTGCATCCTTCAGCCGGAAGTCCTCCAAGAAGGGCAAGGTGAGCTGGGCCCTGATTGGCCAGGGAGATGGGGAGAGAAATGGCTGAGAGGTGTGGCTGCCCTCAGCCTCCAACCCCCAAACATGGTCAGGATCTTATTCATTATCTTCAAGGAACCCCCACCCTCAAATCCAGCAGCTCAAAAGAATGCAGAAGCTTCGTGTTGTTGTTGTTTAGTCGTTTAGTCGTGTCCGACTCTTCGCGACCCCCTGGACCAGAGCACGCCAGGCACTCCTGTCCTCCACTGCCTCCCGCAGTTTGGTCAAACTTGTGCTGGTAGCTTCGAGAACACTGTCCCACCATCTCGTCCTCTGTCGTCCCCTTCTCTTTGTGCCCTCCATCTTTCCCAACATCAGGGTCTTTTCCAGGGAGTCTTCTCTTCTCACGAGGTGGCTAAAGTCTTGAAGCCTCAGCTTCAGGATCTGTCCTTCCAGTGAGCACTCAGGGCTGATTTCCTTCAGAATGGAGAGGTTTGATCTTCTTGCAGTCCATGGGACTCTCAAGAGTCTCCTTCAGCACCAGAATTCAAAAGCATCCATTCTTCGGCGATCAGCCTTCCTTATGGTCCAGCTCTCACTTCCATACATCACTACTGGGAAAGCCATAGCTTTAACTATACGGACCTTTGTTGGCAAGGTGATGTCTCTGCTTTTTAAGATGCTGTCTAGGTTTGTCTGTGCTCTCCCTTAAATCATAGAATTGCAGAGTTGGAAGGGACCTCGAGGGTAATCTAGTTCAACCCCCTGCACTGTGCAGGAATCTCAACTAAAGAACCCTGACAGGTGGCCAGCCAACCTCAGCTTAAATACCTCCGATGAAGGAGAGTCCACCACCTTCTGAGGAAGTCCATTCCATAAGGGGAGTCCTACAGGATCAGACCAAAGCTCTCCTTAGTCCTGTTTCCCATTTGTGTACAGTAGTCCCCTTCCCTGCTGTTGTTTCCAGGCAACTAGTGTTCAGAGGCAGGCCACCCCTAATCCTGGGGGGAACCTAGATGGCTGCCATGACTTCTCCATGACTTTCCTCCCCTGCCGTGCAGGAGACAAGAAGCAGCCTTAGGAAATGATATTTTCTTACTGCCATGCTTGATCTAGATCCCAGTCTCCTCTTCCACAGCTGGGGCAATGTCCCAGGCCCCTTGAGCTCCCACTGCCCTTGCTTCAAGTCAGAGAGCCCACCTTCCCCTCCTCTAAAGAGGAGGAGTCCCGATTCCCAGGCCTCCCCCCTGATTGGCATCTCAACTCCTGAAAGGGGGTTATTGCTCTATGGGCCAGAGAGGGCGGCAGCAGAAACACCAGGCAGCTGGAGAGAACCTTGAAGACCATGTCCCTCGTCTAGCACCACAGCTTTGTATTGGATTGTATGATATATAATAAGCTAATGTTGAGATTGTTTGGGGTGTCTATGTCTTTAAATAGGTGAACCAAGATACTAACCCTACCCGCAGGGCACGGGACAGAGTCCATTGCCTCTGACTCTCAGACTTCTCCTGCAGGTTCGAGTCTGGGTGTACAACCCAGAGGACGAGACCCCCATAACAGAGAGAGAGTACGCCATAGAGGAAGACCCAAAGGTCCTGTACATCTCCTATGCTTCCCACCTGCACCTCTTTGTGGCCTACTGCGATGACATCCACCTGCGGCTTTTTGGTGACCACACTCAGGAATGCAAGATGCTCTCCGAGGTGAAATCGCCCTATTCGGTCACCAGCATGTGCTACAACCCTGAGACAGGTGAAGTGGTGACAGGTGCCATTGGCATTGTGGCCTTTTGGGGCTTTACCCCAGGGAAGGTTCCCTACCTTGCTGTCACGCGGGAGGTGCAGATCTCAAGTGGCGAATTTGTGCACTACCTCAGCTTGGAGCAGGAGCGGAAAGTGCTGGTGGCCTTGTGCGAGAACATCATCCGTGTGTACGACTACAATACCAAGACCCAGACCCGGGCCTTCCAGGTGAGCCAAGGTGTGTCGCTCACTTGCTGCTCCTCCTATTGGCCTCAGAGCTTCCTCTTCACTGGGGACCTCGCTGGGGACATCAAGGTGTGGAACTTTGACAAAGGGACCCAGACCACCCAGTTCAAGGCCCACCAGAGCGCCATCACCACCATCACCACCCGGCACTCGTTCCACACCATCATGACCACATCGCTGGACGGGTTGCTAAAGGAATGGAACCTGACCACCTGTGAGCTCCTCCGACGCCTGGACATCGGAGAGCAGCTCTTCCAGATGCAGTTCCTCAACGAGCAGACCTTCTTCCTCTGCACCCTCTACACCTTCTCCATCCGCACCGTCAACAACTTCTGCCAGCTCTTCAACAGAACCAAGTCCATGCTCACAAAGCTGCTGCGGGTGCAGTGTGGACCAAACAAGGCTCGCATCTTGGCAGCCACGGAAGACGGGGTCATCCGATTCCTATCCCCCGTCACGGGGGAAATGCTGTTTGTCACCTGGCCCTTCCAGGTACTGGAAAAGGCCCTGGACTACGTTTATGACCCGGACAGAGAGGAGCTTCTGGTGACGATGGGCACCAATGACATCTACGTGCTGGACACCACCAAGAACCCCTGCCCGGTCAAGCACATCTTACGTGTCACGGAGGGCCTAGATGACAGGGTGCTGTGCCTGGCCTACAGCCGGCTGGACCTGGAAGGCCGCACCTGCAGCTTCATCTTCAGCGGGTACAAGAGCGGGAAGGTGCGCACCATCACCCAGAACTTGTATCGGATGGGGAACCGCAAGTTGCACGACGGCAAGGTGGTGGCCCTCAGCAGCATCTCAGCCTCAGGGAACCTGTCCTACCACTCACGGGAGTCTTCCTACCTGTGCTCCTACGGCCAGGACCAGTACATCATCCTCTCCGATGTTCTCTTGAAGAAGGACAACTTCCTAGAGGTGTTACCTTTGGTGGTCATCCCAAGCTTCAACTGCCGCATCAACAACCTCCTGCTCATCCCCGGCTACATCTGCGCCCTGACAGAGCACAACCGGGTCCGGCTGTGGCGCCAGGCGTCCCTGGTCCCTGGCCAGAAGAACCGCTTCTGGAAGGAGACTGGCGCCCTGCACGCCACCACCATCACTTCCTTTGACTACTGCCACACCCTCAGCATGCTGGTGACCAGTGGCTCTGATGGCACCGTGCGCGTCTGGGACATCCTGGGGCAGATGCTGGTGGAGTTTGACACAAGCCTCAAATTCAGCCGAGTCTGCTTTGCCAACCAGCGGGGAGACCTGGTTGTGGGCTGCAACATGAATATCTACTTCATCCCATGCGTCTTGTACTTGCCCAGAGACCACCTCTACATGCTGATGTCCCGGTGTGTGAAGGACGACATGATTGAGCGCCCCTTGGCCTTTCTGCCTCACTTCCTCCTCACCTTCGACATAGTCTTTGTGCCTAAGTAAGTATGGGGAGACGGACGCGGGTGGCGCTGTGGGTTAAACCACAGAGCCTAGGACTTGCTGTTCAGAAGGTCGGCGGTTCGAATCCTGTTGCTCTGTCCCTGCTCCTGCCAACCTAGCAGTTCGAAAGCACGTCCAAGTGCAATAGATAAATAGGTACTGCTCCGGCGGGAAGGTAAGCGGCATTTCCGTGCACTGCTCTGGTTCGCCAGAAGCGGCTTAGTCATGCTGGCCACATGACCCGGAAGCTGTACACCGGCTCCCTCGGCCAATAAAGCGAGATGAGCGCCGCAACCCCAGAGTCGGTCACGACTGGACCTAATGGTCAGGGGTCCCTTTACCTTTAGGTATGGGGAGGGGAAGGGAGGCAGGCAGGCAGGGCGGGATCTGAATGTTGGAGAGGTGGGCAGAGAAGACACAGCTGCAAAAGGGTGAACCCCACCCCCAGTTTCCAATTCAGGTGATACAGGAAACTTGTTTCCCACCAATGGCCACTGACCTTTGCAACTGTCATGGGGAAAAAGGGGGAACATACCTTGTCCAAATGGTTCTAGCACTCAGAGCCAGTAGCCAGTCTCCAGGTCCACGGACTGTCTATGAAGCCAAGGCTGCGGAGCAAGAATGGTGAAAATTTTGGGCCCAAGAACTGCATGCAAGGGTAGCCAATCCTCTGCATGAGGTCTGCATGGCATGTGTGTGTGTGTGTGTGCGCGCGCGCACACACACACACACACACACGGGCTGGCCAACATATCGATATATTGTCCAAAGTCAGTTTGAAGTCAGTATTGTAGTATCAGTTTCATAGTTTTTGACCTGGCAATATATTGAAAATCATGATGTGTGTTAGGGACAGGTGATATATTGTCCCAAACCAATTTCAAGTCCGTATCATGATATTGGTTTCATAATTTTTGACCTGGCAATATACAATGGACCCTCGGGTAACGTAACTTTTGGGTTGCGAACGCGGCAAACCCAGAAGTGTATATTTCCGGGTTTAGCAGTGCGCGCATGCGCAAAACTGCTCTGCGCGCCGCATGTGTGCACAGAAGCACTCTATCGCGCCACGCATGTGCGCAGAAGCGGTGCCTCTAGATGTGGACTTTTGGGGGTACATATGGACCCCTGGAACGAGTTCAGTTTGTATCCGGAGGGTCCACTGTATTGTGAATCATGGGTGTGTGTGTCATGTTCAAAAATGTGGGGGAAACCGTGAAGCCAGCCAATGCCTCCATCCTTTTTTCAGACATTGTGATATACAGTGCTATTTTTCTCTAGAAAAAGGGGTGTTAGAACTCACCATGAACGCCTCACTCATTCTCTCAGAATGGCAATGGCAGCCCACCTAAGAGGTGTCGGAACTGAGTTCCAGTGAGTTCCAGTTGGGGGGAAAGCCCTGGTGATATATCAGTATATCACAATGTTTAGCTGGTTATATATCACAAAGTTGAAAACCAGATACCGCCCAGCTCTAATGTAGACCACCAGTTCATTACATTCTGCTGCCTGAGGCAAAAGACAAGAAGGCGCCCTTCCCCAAGGCACATACAGAAGCCAGTAGGACCGGCAGTGGAATCTTACTCCAATACTGGGCAAAGGACAATAAAGGCAGCAGGCTAGGGTAGGGGGCACAGGACAGGATGAAAGGCACTCACATCTCAGGCCATTCCCCCCATCCCACAGCACCTGCTGCCACATTATGGGCGGACCCTGCAGACCACACTCTGCAGACACACCCCAACAGCGCACCTGCCACTCACTGACCCCCTTGAGAGCCTTCCTGCCTGCCATCTTTATTTTAACCAAGCGTCTCCCTACCTGCCCGCGGACTGTCTCACCAGAGTGGTGCATGCTCTGGTTATCTCCCGCTTGGACTACTGCAATGCACTCTACATGGGGCTACCTTTGAAGGTGACCCAGAAACTACAACTAATCCAGAATGCAGCAGCTAGACTGGTGACTGGGAGCGGCCGCCAAGACCACATAACACTGGTCTTGAAAGACCTACATTGGCTCCCAGTACGTTTCCGAGCACAATTCAAAGTTTTGGTGCTGACCTTTAAAGCCCTAAATGGCCTTGGCCCAGTATGCCTGAAGGAGCGTCTTGACCCCCATCGTTCTGCCCGGACGCTGAAGTCCAGCGCCGTGGGCCTTCTGGCAGTTCCATCATTGTGAGAAGCAAAGCTACAGGGAACCAGGCAGAGGGCCTTCTTAGCAGTGGTGCCCACCCTGTGGAACGCCCTCCCATGAGATGTCAAAGAGATAAACAACTACCTGACATTGAGAAGACATCTGAAGACAGCCCTGTTTAGGGAAGTTTTTAATGTGTGACATCTTAGTGTATTTTGGTCTTTGTGGAAGCCGCCCAGAGTGGCTGGGGAATCCCTCCCCCACCTGCACAGAACTACAGTTCCCAGCCGCCTTAACAAACTAGACTTTGGGTGCTTTCCCTCCCCAGGTATCGCCAGGTAGGGAGGCTGGCCAAGAAGTACGAGCGGCTGGAGCCCATCTCCAACCCCAAAGAGGTGGTGATGGAGAACAACGTGGCCACCGTCTTGCATTTCATCGGCAAGGAGGCGAGTGCCCTCCCTGGGCCAGATTTCTACGGGGCAGCGCCATACATCAAGGAGCTGCAGCCGGAGTTCTTCGTGAAGTACCAGCTCCTCCCGCAGCAGGCTGCCAAGGCAACCCCGGAAAAGAAGACGCTTCCTGCCGAGCTTCCGCCAGCGCCACCACCGTCCCGTGTGCTTCCACCGCTGGTCGAGCCCATCCCCGTCCTCAGCAGGATACCCTTCCAAGCCGGGCGCACGTGGCCTATCGCCCCTGACGGATACGTCCCCAATTCGGTTATCCGGGCCCAGCTGTTTCCAAAGGGGACACCCAAGGCCCTGCAGTGCAGCTTGGACCTGACCAGGCAGCCCTTACCCAGGCGCAAGATGGTCAAGATCCTGCTGCCGGAGACGGATGAGCCAGAAGCCGTAGACAAAATCCGGAGGAAAAAGCCACAGAGGCGGCGGCCCTCCGTGGCCTTCTCAGGGTTGATGCGCTCCCGGGACCTGCTGTCCGAGATCGTGTCGAAGCCCTGGCTGCGGCACAAGCCCAGCGACAACAGCTTACCCTCCGTCACGAAGGCCATCCTGGACCTCATGGACGACGTGCCCTACTCCACGTACTTGATGTGCACGGCTGCCCTCGTCCAGCTGGCCGAGTCCTACCCGCTGCCAGACAAGGTCCAAGAAGACGCCTTTGAGCGACTCATCCAGGACACCACCCACAAGGAGGTCAGTGCAGTCCTTTGAAGGCCTTGGGGGGAGGGAACAGCACAGGGACATTGGCAAGCCGTACTTTCACTAGCTTCATTTGTTGTTGTTGTTTAGTCGTGTCCGACTCTTCATGTCCCCCTGGACCAGAGCACGTCAGGCACTCCTGTCTTCCACTGCCTCTTGCAGTTTGGTCAAACTCATGTTCGTAGCTTCGAGAACACTGTCCAACCATCTCGTCCTCTGTTGTCCCCTTCTCCTTGTGCCCTCCATCTTTCCCAACATCAGGGTCTTTTCCAGGGAGTCTTCTCTTCTCATGAGGTGGCCAAAGTCTTGGAGCCTCAGCTTCAGGATCTGTCCTTCCAGTGAGCACTCAGGGCTGGTTTCCTTCAGAATGGAGAGGTTTTACCTTCTCGCAGTCCATGGGACTCTCAAGAGTCTCCTCCAGCACCATAATTCAAAAGCATCCATTCTTTGGCGATCAGCCTTCTTTATGGTCCAGCTCTCACTTCCATACATCACTACTGGAAAAACCATAGCTTTAACTAAACGGGCCTTTGCTGGCAAGGTGATGTGTTGGAATGTACCCCACGGGCCATCTAGTCTGACCCCCTGCAATGCGGGAATCATAACTGCAGAACCCCCGGCAGAGGACCACCCAACCTCTGCTTACAAACCTCCAAGGAAGGAGAGTCTGCCACCTTCCGTTGTCATAGAATCATCAAATTATAGAGTTGGAAGGGACCCCACGGGTCATCTAGTCTGGCCCCGTGCAATGCAGGAATCACAGCTAAAGCCTGGAAGGGGATTTCCCTGGGATTTCTCCCCTTTCTCTGGCCAGGTCCTCGCAGAATGGCAGCTGTGAGGGGCGGGGGAAGGGTTGCGGCTGGAGACCTGGTTGGGGGCAAGAGGAAAGCAGGGGGCTGAGGGAGGAGGAAAGAGCCGCCCGGAAGTGTGAGGCGATTTAATGGTGGAGGGGCTGAAACCAAAGAAACGAGGTCTGTCAAGTTTTCTGGCTGAATCCAAAAAGAGCTAGAGCCAAAGGTTCTCTCTCTGAATTCTCCTCATGAGGAGGGGCACAGGCTGAGGGATCCCATCCCCTCCAACATTTCTCCGAGGAAAATGGGGGCAGGTTGTTCCACTTCAAGAAGCTTCTTCCACATTTGATCTCCCGTACACACAGGCGTCCATGTGCGCATCTACCGGAGCTGCTCACAGGGTTGTTGTGAAGAAAAAAATGTGTGAGGGGGAAGGGATCCTGTATAGCCCCTTCCACAGATTAACGGAAGGAAGCAACGTTTTAGCTGTAAACTGCCTTGAGTCCCTTTCAGGGGGAAAGGCGGGGATAATAATAATAATAATAATAATAATAATAATAATAGAAGCAGCAGCAGCAGCAGCTCTGAGAATGACCAGGAACATATCAGAGCATAAATCCTATTGAACTCAGTGGGAACTGAGTAAAAATTCTTAGGATTTCAGTGTAAGGCCCACGTGTCTCGACCCTTTTACCTGAGAGTAAGTTTCATTGACTACAGTGTGACTTCCTTCTGAGTAAGACGGTATAAGCCTCCACTTACAATAAAGGAGAAAAACAATCCACACATTTCCTCAAAAATGGCTGGCTGAGGAAGCGTCGCAATGAAAGACACAACGAAAGTAGACTGGAGACCTTTTCCTTCAAAAGCATAGGCAGCGCACCTTCACCATTTCCTTCATCGGGTGCAACGATCTTATTTCCAGCAGAAACAGGACTCCGTTTTTGGCAGCTCCAACATATACAGAGAAACTACTTTTTATTGTTCTCCAAGACATGGAGGGGAGGGCAAAGGGCAAAGCAGGACGTCCTGGGGTCAAATGAACCACCCTGAGGTCTCTAGGTAGAGGGCGGTATATATATTCAGTAAATAAATAAATAAAAACCAAAAAACCCAGGAGTGCCTTCTGCAATTCCGGGACTGTCCCTGGAAAATCGAGGCACTTGTAGGATATGGGAGCCAGTGCAGCAGGGAGCCACTGGTTTTTCCCGCCTTTTTTGTTTCCGCCGTTGTTCTTGTCCGCTTTGCCTCAGCCCCATGGTGGCCTCTGCTGCTTCCTGCCTCACCCTTCCCCAAGCGAGGCAGAGATGGCCAGTCAGGTGTCATCGCCAGCAGCCTCATGGCTCCTCTTGCCCCTCATCCTGGCGCCTCACAGGGGCCCCTCTCAGTCCCTCTCCATGCCCCCTTGGCACTTCACGAGGCACAAGGACAGCCATTTTGTTTTATTTATGACATTTGCAGGCTGCTCTTCCTCCCAAGGGCCCCTGCCTCTGAGGTAAAAACAAAATGGAGAGCCTTGTCTTCTGAGGGCACGCAGGGTTTTGGTTTTATTCTTTGGTATTGTAACACGCTGCTCCAATCACCATGAGACGTGTGAGATTCCAGGGGTTGTAGGCGGACCTTAATAACAATAAGAACAATAACAATAAGAACAGCAATAATAATGTTATTATTTATATTATTTATATGCCCCAGGGTCTGTGTTGGGACAAATGAGGCTCCACGGAGACTGTGGTGCTTTTAGGATATATGGTTTATTGACACAGGCATTCAACCTGAACTTAGAGGAAGGGGCTCACGGCACTGGCACCCCAAATGGTCCCTGCTTCTTCCGTAGCCATAGCCTTGCCCTCAGAGGGACGTCATGCCAGCCAAACTCCAACCCACCAGTCTAAACCCTCGGCTTTTATCAGCTTTATTAATGGTGAACCCCAAAATTTCCACATCTGCTAATACCAGAGGCGTATTGGTGGGTCTGCTGTTGCATTCTGAGGCCAAAGGAAAGGATCGGACCCTGATTAAAATAAGACACGAGGCTTTGACCAGCAAGGCTCTCAGAGAAAGTGCGTCCCCACACGCCTCACCAGGCCATTTTATTAGCAAAAGAATCCTTTACACAGTGCTCATAAGAACCAATCAGATTTCCTACTTACCAAAGTAAGTGAGCCACAGGTGTGTGAATATGAGGAAGGCAGTGACTGGAAATATTTATAGCAGAGACATCATGGTTAAATAAGGCAGGCTTACAAAACAGGGACCCTGGGATCCCAAGGGAAGGTAATGAACATATTCAAATGCCCAGAGTCACTGTATTGGCCATATTCATTCATGGGCCAAGGGGATCCCAGGCCATGTTCCTCCTGGCTTAGAAATGAATAAGGTCAGACCAAAGCGGTAGAAAACTGTCCCTTTTCCTTTGGACCCTGAGGACTCTCAGTTGATCCGTTCCTTTCTCCACACTTTAGCCTAGCAAGCAGTAAGACTGGCCCCGTCTAAATTTTCCCAAAACTGTGCAGTGGTCCTTCAGCCACTGTAAGCAGCTACACTACCAAGTCTTTATTTTGCAAACTTTATTATGCAACACCAGTAGGAGGTTGGTCACGGGTATTAGCATCTTCTGGAGGGGGAGCCAAGGCTGGCTTTCCCCCTGGCCATGCCAAAGGCTGCGGCAGAGGCTGGCCTTGGTCCAGACCCCGGCGCTGGCCCCTGAGCTCATGTGTACGAGGATATGGACCCCTGTTCTTGCTCCACAGGTGAGGATGAGGCTGGCAGCCTGGGAGGCCTTAGGGAAGATGGACCTGCTGAGTGAACAGGAAGTGGTCCCCCTGGCCCGAGCCCTGCTGGACGAGAACAAGAAAGTGCGTGACCTGGCCCGGTCACTGCTGGACTCTGTGGCTGGCATCACGGACAAATTTGTCCTGAAGAAGGAGATGCAGCGGATGGCGGATTCCAGCCTGATAGACTTGTAAGTGTCTCCTCTGAGGCATGAGTGGGGTATCCCTGACCCCCAAAGCAACACCCCCTGTGGCTCGGAGGAGCTTCCTGGAAGGGTCTCTTTTGCAGCTTCTGGCAAAGTTAGACCCAGCTGTTCCCTGCCCAATTGGGTTATGATGCTGCTCTGTGCTGTACCCAGGTGTAGGCTATGACTGAGGATGAGGAGCTTAAAGGTGGGCCTCACATGACACACACCGAGCACATTTGCACAGAGCTGTGTGTGTCCAATTAGCCAATAGCAGAAGCCCTGAAGTAGTTAAAACATCCCTTCAATGAGATGAACAGCAGGACTGAGATGTTTTGAAAGGGAATAAGATATTTTGCTTTGCAGTGGGGAGATTTACTAGAGGGTAGGGAAAGATCTGCCATAAGCCAAAGGCCTGGATCCCCCCCCACCCCCATTCCTCTGGGGCCCTCCTCTCAATTTTACCCCTCCTTCAGCTGTTTACTCTTTGCTCCAAGGGATGTGGGTGGTGCTGTGGTCTAAACCACTGAGCCTCTTGGGCTTGCTGCTTGTCCATCAGAAGGTCTGCAGTTCGAATCTGTTCTACGGTGGTGAGCTCCCATTGCTCTGTCCCAGCTCCTGCCAACCTAGCAGTTCGAAAGCACACCAGTGCAAGTAGATAAATAGGTACCTCTGCGGTGGGAAGGTAAATGGTGTTTCTGTGCACTCTGGCACTCGTCACAAGCTGTCTGTTGTCAAATGCTGGCTCCCCCCGCCTGAAAAGTGAGATGAGCGCCGCACCCCGTAGTCACCTTTGACTGGACTTAACCATCCAGGGGTCTTTTACTTTTACTTCTTTGCTCCTTCCAGGTCTTCATTTGGTCGCGATCAAAGCGCCTTCCCTCGCAGAGTGCGGGCTGCCGGCATCATGGCAGAGACAGCGGATGAAGCTAAGGTTGCTCTGACAGAAGGAGCACAGAAGCTGATGACTCGGGTTGAGAACCAGCTAACAGCCAATCTGTTCTTGATGAACGAGATCCCACCCAAAGTAGTCCGCGACCGCCGCTCAACCATTTCCCGTCTTAGGTCACCATCCCGGGGAACATCTGTAGACTTTACCACCCCCGAAACCCTTCCCGTTGGACAGGCACGGTGGCTGGGAATCTTTGGCAAGCCTGAGAGGAGAGCTGCGCCTGCTGCTACCCCTTTTGCCCCTGAAAGAGGCAAGTACAAATACCTGCCTAGAGAGGGCATCTTGAAGCGTTGTTGCTGGGAGGAGCGCCATTCCCAGGCTGGCCACCATCCTCTGGGGCTATCACCTGCTTAGGCTCCCTGGTAGGTCAGGCTGTCCTGACTTGGACTGGCAACCTGTGGTCAGTGTCTCCCTTTTCACTTGCACAAGCAGCCTTGAATTCCATGGTAGAAAGTTGTGGAATGACTGACACTTCCACTTGCGCTGCACTTAGGAAGCACGAGTCCCCCTTGCCTCATTCCTTTCCAGGGAAACCTGCTCTTTAGTGAGAGATCAGAACCAATGTCACTCCAGGAAAAAATCAAAACCGTTTGCATTAAGAAGCAGATTTCCTGCAGGGAAAGCAGAGGCACAAGAGGAAGTGTGTGTTGGAGGAACTGGACATGGAAGATGGGGTTCATTTCCCCCCATGAGCAAAAATCTCCCCATGTACGTGATAAGTCAACAGGTGCAAGGTCAGCCAAGCCAGTTGCTATGGCAATGGCCCAGTGTCATCTATGTAAGTGATTCAGGCATGTCAGCTCATTAGTCAGACAGTGAGTCTGTTGGTGAATCAAATTCTGCGCTACATCTTGAAGCTGGGGCAATGGGAGATACTTTGTGCTTGTACAGTATATATGTATGGCATTTCCATGCGCTCTGGCTTCTGTCACGGTGTTCCGTTGCGCCAGAAGCGGTTTAGTCGTGCTGGCCACATGACTCGGAAAGCTGTCTGTGGAGAAACCAGCTCTCTCAGCCTGAAAGCAAGATGAGCGCTGCAACCCTTTGACAGGGCCTTTGACCATTGCCTTTGACTGGGCTTAACGGTCCAGGGGTCCTTTACTTTTTTTTACATCTGTGTCTCCCGCTGCGCTCCCCGGGCTTCAGGCAGCTATCCGCAAACCTTCAGAGCGCGCCCCCAGCCCCGCAAGCTCCGGGAGCGGCGGCAAGGCTGCGTGCAACCTTGCCGCTGCTCCCGGACCTGTTCTGGGGGCTGGGGTCAGGGGAAGCTCGGGCTTCCCCCACCCCAGCCCCGCGGCTAAAAACGAAGCCAAGACAGCGAGTGGGATCCATCCCGGCTGGAGAGGTTGTGTGTGGCTAAAGAGGAAGCCAAGACAGCCAGCGGGATGGATCCGGCTCGCTGTCTTGGCTTCTTTGCTCTTTGGGGCTGGGGGGGGAATATTTCCCCCCCCTTTATTTCCCCCCCTAAAAACTAGGTGTGCCCTATGGTCCGGTGCGCCCTATGGAGCGAAAAATACGGTACATATCAATGTCCAGAACTGTATTACTGAAGCCTTATCTTCTGCAACAGTAAACCGTTTTGGACCTGAAGCCACCTCTGTGTGGTGAGTGGGATGGGGGACAACTTCTGCTACATAGGTATCTTCCCTCAGATTCCTGACTTTATTCTGCCCATGTCTCTGGTTAATCTCATTCCTTTCCTTGTCCCTTCACAGCTGGTGGCGATAAGCTCCCCAGGATCCCTCAAGCACGAGGCAAGGGGCTCACTGTGCCAATAGCGAGTGGAATAGGTCTGGAGGAGCGCAGCCCCAGCCTCAGCCCCACCCCTAGCATGGCCACCGCCAGCTCCAGCTCCAGCAGCTCCAGCTTCAGCAGCACCAGCAGTGGCTCCATGTGGCGGGAGGTGCGGCTTGAAAGGCGGGAGCTCAGGGCAAAGGAGAAGGAGAAGGACAAACGGCTCAGGCCCAAGGTCCTTCCCACCGTTCCCCACGAGGCCCCAAAGGTACTCAAGGTGCGCAAGAAGGCCCAGCCCATCCTTTTGCAGCGGCGTGACACTCGCACCCAGCTCTACACTGAGATGCTGAAGCACCAGAGGGACAGGAAGGACTTGCAGGCAGCCGCCCTCCCAACATCGGAACTCAGGCCAGATACTGCTGTTCTGCCGCCTAAACCCAGCCAGGTGGGCGTCCCCACCCTGCCGCCAGTGCCCACCAAAGGCAGCCTCATTGACCCTAACCAGGAGTACAGCTCTGACAAGACCAAGTGGCGTGCCGACCTCCACAAGCTGTTGATGCTCCGCATCGGCCCCCACATAGAGGGCCGCACTGCGGCTGAGGACCTCCTGGCCTCGGCCCGGTATGCCCTGGCTGGCCGCACCATGTCCTGGGAGGACATTGTCAACCTCAGCCAGTCCCTCCTCACTTCCCAGGAGAAGGCAGCCGTTGATGAAAAGGCGTGGACGGCATATATAGAGCGTCTGCAAAAGCCCAGAGGAAGAGAGTCGTTGTCCCAGCCTTCCACGGAGAGCCTGGAGAAGGTGGTGGGAGTCACGAAGAAGCAAGAGGAGTTCAGCAGTTCGGAGACAGAGTTTGAGAGTGAGAGTGAGGAGGAATTCATTAGGGGGAAGGGAGTGAGAGAGCATGGAGAGGCCGGACGAAAGAAGCGAAAGAAGAGAGGCCGGACGGCTGGAGAACAGGAGGGGAAGTCAGCCTCCGACAAAGAAGTGGCAGGGAAAGTGGTGGCGAAGGCGGTTAAAGGGAAATCGTATGAGTCACTCCGGGGAAAGGAGCGGGAGGCGGCCAGGACGAGAGTGCGAGAGGCGATCAAGGAAAGAGACCGAGAGGCGGCCAGGGAAAGGGAGCTGGAGGCGGCCAAGGCAAGGGAGCACGAGGAGGCCAAGGCAAGGGAGCTGGAGGCAGAAGCCATGGCAAGGGAGCGAGAGGTGGCCAGGGCGAGAGAGCGGGAGCTGGCCCGGCGGAGGGAGCGTGAGCGGGAGGCAGCTGCAAGGAAACGGAAGAGATTGGGGAAGCTGGTTGACAAAGACAGAGAGGGCCTGGAGGGGCCAGAGCTGGCCAGGAGAGAAGCCCTGAAGCCCATCCTCAAGGAGTCGGAAAGGAAGCTGGTCGAGATGACCGAGAGCGCCCTGGCTGAGGTGAGGGGAAAGGCCAAAGAGAGGATGATGAAGGAGCTCAAGGAGAGAGCATTGGCCGAAGCCAAGCACCTGGCCAAGGAAGATGTGAAGGCGAAGGCGCTGGGCGAAGCCAGGGACCTGGCCCTGGTCGAAGCCAAGGAGCAGGCGATGCTCAAGGCACGGAAGATGGCCATGGTGGAAGAATGGGAAAAGGTGATGGCCGAGGCACGCAGGAAGGCACAGGCAGAGCTGGAGGAGAGGGTGATGGCCGAGGCGATTAAGATAGCCCAGGCCGAGAATAAAGAGGGGGAGGAGGCCAAGGAAAGGATCCGGGAACTGCTCAGCTCAGTAGTGCTGGAAGTGGACGAGGCCAGGGTCCTGGAGCTGGCCAAGGAAATGGGCTTGGTAGTGGATGAGGAGAGGATACAGGAGCTGCTCAAGGAAATTGCCTTGGAGGTGGACGAGGCGAGAGTCCAGGAGCTGGCAGAGTTAAGGCGCGAAGAACTGGTGGAGGCCATCGCTCAGAGGCTGGCTCAGGAAAAAATGTTGGGCCTGTCTGAGTCGAAACTCAAGGAGCTCATTGAGGCCAAAGCCATGGAGATGGCCCAGGCAAGAACCAGGGCCCTGGAGGGAGAGGGGGAAGAGGAGGAAGGAGTTGGAGAAATGGCTGAAAGAAGAAAGAAAATGGTGGCTAAAAGAAGAGTTATCCATCGGGGGGAGGAAGGGGAAGAGTGGGACTGGGAGTGGGAGGAGCTGGAGAAGAAGGAGGAAGGAGATGAAATGTGGGAAGAGCTAGTAGAGAAGACCTTTGAGTTCCTCAATGATGAGGAGAGAGAGGCTCTGATAGCCCTATGGGAGGAAGAAGCGACTCCAAAGCTAGAAGACGACCAACTTGAGCTTTCAGAACACGCTCAACTGTTCTTGGACATCCTGACTCAGCCAGAGAAGCTGGAGTCCAGTGACGCCGCCACCTACAAGCGCCTCTTCCAAGTGGTGTCAATGCTTGAGGTTTCTTCGGGGGTGGAGGCCGAGGCCCTGGCAGGGGCTTTGCTGCAGAAAGCACAGCAGATCTTACAGAAAGGGGAGGAGATGAAGGGGCTCTTGAGCAAAGGGCACTCTGCTCTGCTGCAACAGCTCAAAGAAGCAGTAGAGGCCTACCAGATCTGGAGCACTGATTCCCAGGAGCTTTCAGCCAAGATGGAGACCCTTCAGAAGACCGCCCTGACGGTGTTGCAGGCGAGGAACCTGAAGGTAAAGCTGCAGAAAGAGGCCAGGAAGAGATCCTTGTGGGAGAGCGTGAAGAAGGAGTGGACGGAGGAGAAAGGCAAATTTATTAAGAAGAGCTTCCTGAACAAGAGGCTGAAGGAAGCCATAAAGAAACTGAAGGCTGAGGAAGAAAAGGCTGAGCAAGGAAGAATAGAGCAGCTGCGAATGGAAAGGCGCCTCAAATTCAGATCCCGGCCCATTGTGCTAGGTGAGGTGGAGAAGGAGAAAGACATGGAGAGGCCAGAGGGGGAGAGGAAGGAGGCGGACGAGGAGGAGAAGCAGAAGAGAGGAGAGCTTGGCAGGAGTTCAAGCAAGATAACGTGGTCCCTGGCGGGGAAGGAGAAGGCCTGGAAGGCCATCATGCAGACGGAGGGGCTGCCCATGGCCGCCGCTATTATCAGGCCAAAGAAGTACCGGCTTCCACAGGACTCTCTGTACAGACGTGGCCAGCCAAAAGCGCGATTCCGTCGGTGGAGCCTCACCAGGGGTCCCCTTAAGCACGCCTTCCGCCTGTATGAAGACAAAGGGGTTGACTGGGAGAGGTTCATGAAGCTGTACCAGTCCCTCATGGTCCTGAAGGAGCAGAAGGGGGGCATCGAGTCGTTGGCGTGGCAGGAGCAGACCACCAAGCTGCTAGACCTCTACGGCTTGACCAACCCGCTCATCCACGCCATGACGCAGCACCTGCTGCTGGGAGACCGCAGAGAGCGCACATACGTCAAGGGCAGCGCCCTGAGGATGCGGAAGGCGCAAGCTGGTTTGGGGGCAAGGATACTCTACGAGATGATCCATCACTCGGTTCGGCTCCCCCCCAGGCTTCCCACCTGGCATGGCATCATCCCTCTCAGCTATCAGAACAACGTGCACACCTTCAAGGTCCGGGGCATCACCCGCTATGGCACCCTGTCCCTCAAGTGGAAGACCACCGTTGCCAGGGGAAAGGCCTCCAAGCTCCGCCTCTACGTCCACTCAGGCTCCCAGAGCAAATAGCTCCCCTTGTTTGTTTTGTTCTTTAACCCAGAGAGAAATATATAGATTTGTATGTGTGTGATATTCTTTTCTACTGAATCTTTTCGAGAGTCGCATCAGACATCCCTCAGCGAGCTGCGTTGAAAGGGAGTCTCAAGGTGTTTCCAGGGCAGGGAAAGATCCTTGAAGTGCCCAGTGGAATAAACATGACATAGATGCCATCTGCAGTTGCCGTTTTGAGTTTTTACTGTTAGAGAAGGCGCCTAGTTAAACTGTGGAGCAGGAAGCAATGATGGTCACCAACCTAAGTAAAGGTAAAGGGACCCCTGACCATTAGGTCCAGTCGTGGCCAACTCTGGGGTTGCGGGGCTCATCTCGCTTTATTGGCTGAGGGAGCCGGCGTACAGCTTCCAGGTCATGTGGCCAGCATGACTAAGCCACTTCTGGCGAACCAGAGCAGCTCACGGAAACGCCTTTTACCTTCCCACCACAGTAGCAAGTAGACCTATTTATCTACTTGCACTTTGATGTGCTTTCGAACTGCTAGGTTGGCAGGAGCTGGGACCGAGCAACGGGAGCTCACCCCATCGGCGGGATTCGAACTGCCGACCTTCTGATCAGCAAGTCCAAGAGGCTCTGTGGTTTAACCCACAGCGCCACCCGCATCCCAATATCACCAACCTAGACAGCTTCAAAAGTGGATTGGGCAACACGAAGGGGAATAAAGCTATTGCTGGCTACTAGCCACAATCATAGAATCGTAGAGTTGGAAGGGACCCCAAAGGTCCTCTAATCCAACCCCCTGCAATGCAGGAATCTCAACTAAAGCATCCTTGACAGATGGCCATGATCATGGCTGTGAGAACAAGATGCTGGACTAGGTGAGCCCCCTTTGGCCTGATCCAGCTGCAGGGCTCTCCTTGTGTACTCATGAGGAGGAGACCTCATGGAAGCTCTTACGTTCAGAAGCATTTGGGCACTGAGTATCACACACATCTATCCTGGCACTGGGAAGCTAATTCACTCATGCAGGTGCTAAGTTATGACCATGAAAAAACACAGAAGGCTGGCAAAGCCAGACGTGTCTTTAGGTTATATGGTTTTATTTCCGCATATATACAGTATATATACAGAGAAGACTCCCTGGAAAAGACCCTGATGTTGGGAAAGGAGAAGGGGACGACAGAGGACGATATGGTGGGACAGTGTTCTCGAAGCTACCAGCATGAGTTTGACCAAACTGCGGGAGGCAGTGGAAGACGAGTGCCTGGCGTGCTCTGGTCCATGGGGTCACGAAGAGTAGGGCACGACTAAACAACAACAACATATACAGCCTGAGCATAAGATGGAGGGGCTCACGGCATTAATACCCCAGCAGAACTTGTTTCTCTCTTAGTCGCAGCTTTGGATACAGAACAGAGCAAGCAAGTCTTTGGGTCTCCAGCCTCCAGCCTTATTCCAGTTCAGCTCTCTCACAGCACTCTGGCTATTGTTTATCCCGGTGGTGGGAAGAAGGTGGAGGAAAGGCCTACCCATCAGCCTGGAGGGACTCTCCTTCCTTGGAAGTTTTTAAGCAGAGGTTGGATGGCTTAGGGACGCGAGTGGCGCTGTGGGTTAAACCACAGAGCCTAGGACTTGCCGATCAGAAGGTCGGCGGTTTGAATCGAATCCCCATGACGGGGTGAGCTCCCGTTGCTCGGTCCCTGCTCCTGCCCACCTAGCAGTACGAAAGCACGTCAAAGTGCAAGTAGATGGTACCGCTCCGGCAGGAAGGTAAACAGCGTTTCCGTGTGCTGCTCTGGTTCGCCAGAAGCAGCTTAGTCATGCAGGCCACATGACCTGCAAGCTGTACACTGGCTCCCTCCGCCAATAAAGCGAGATGAGCGCCGCAACCCCAGAGTCGTCCGCGACTGGGCCTAATGGTCAGGGATCCCTTTACCTGGATGGCTTTAGTTGAGGTTTCTGCATTGGGGTGGGGGGGGTTGGATTAGATGACCCTTCTTTTGAGCTCTGTGATTCTATTATTCTAGGGCCCCCTCAGTTAGCTGTAGCCCTTGCAACCTGGTTCCTTCTTTTGGGATGCAGACGAGGACACTCAAGTCGCCAGCTAAAGTCACTGCCTTACATAGAGCCTTCCCTGATCTGTGCAAGAATAGAATCTTCTGTTAGAGTCCAACCCTCACAGAGTACAGGATCCCTAGAACTGGAAGGGGCTCCGGGCATCATCCAGGCTGACCCCACAAACCCACAGCAAGAATAAAAATCTCTAGGCAGCCCCTACCCTGCCAGCCAGCACAGAAGCAAGAGACGCCCACAGAAGACAAGGAAAAATCAAGCACTCTAGGTTAGCTCAGAGAGGGCAACAGGCAGCAGCAAAGCCCTGAAATCCTGCTCTTGCTAACTCATGTCTTATGACGTATCTTTGTGTGTGCAGGGTGTGTGCGTGTGGAGGAACGGAATTGTTTTTTTTAGTCCTTGGCATTTAAAAGTGCCAGCTGTCTGCAGGAAGTAACTGGAACAGAAGCTTCTGCATCCCACTGAGTCTTGGGCTCAGAGGGTGTCTGAGGGAGCAACTGAAGGAGACTTGGGCTTTTGCTGAAACCTGAGAGGAGATGGATAGATAGATAGATAGATAGATAGATAGATACAGTGGTGCCTCGCAAGACGAAATTAATTCGTTCTGCGAGTTTTTTCGTCTAGCGAATTTTTCGTCTTGCGAAGCACGAAATCCCATAGGAATGCATTGAAATTCAATTAATGTGTTCCGATGGTCAAAAAAAGTCCAAACAAAGCCAAATTTGGTACAACAAGAGTTTATTAAGTGCTCTTTAAAGTCACACATACTGTAAAGAGCATTTCAAAAATTGAAGGAACAATAAATTAAGTTTCTAAACATGACAGAAAAACATTTAAAAATCAACAAAGTGTACAGTACATTTTCTAAGACTCTGGGGACAACTCGAAGAAGGTTCCTCTTCCACTCTTTGCTTCTTGCTGAAGAACCCCCTCCTCAACTGTTCCCCCAGCCACCCACCACACAGAAATTCAAATCCAGAAATTTTTTTTAAAAACAGCAGAGTGGCCCAATGGTCACAGAAAATCATAAAAATGCAAAAACACACAAGCTTCCAGATTCTTGCAAACCCCTCCCCAACACCAAGTCCTTGAATTCCAAACACCCCAACCCAAAATCCAAAAACCCCCCAAAAAGTTTTAAAAGTTTAAAAGAAGTTTTGGAAAAGCTTCAAAAATCACCAAAGTCTTCAAAAACCTCAAAAAAGGCTACCACACCGCGTTCTATGAGTTGCTCCTCGAAGTCAAGTCGCAACTGTATTAACGGTGTTAAGAAAAGGAAACAAACTTGCAAGACGTTTTCGATTTTCGTCTTGCGAAGCAAGCCCATAGGGAAATTCGTCTTGTGAAGCAGCTCAAAAAACGGAAAACCCTTTCGTCTAGCGAGTTTTTTGTCTTGCGAGGCATTCGTCTTGCGGGGCACCACTGTAGATACCGTATTTTTTGCTCCATAAGGCGCACCGGACCATAAGGCGCACCTAGTTTTTAGAGGGGGAAATCAAGAAAAAAAATATTATCCCCCCCCCCAGCCCCAAAGAGCTTCTGGGGCTGCCGGGGGAAGCCCGGGTTCCCCCCCCCCAGCTCCAAAGAGCAAAGAAGCCAAGACAGCGAGCGGGATCCATCCCATTCACTGTCTTGGCATCTTTCTTTAGCCGGGAGAGGTTGCGTGCGGCTAAAAAAGCCATAGCCGCGTCCAGTCTCTCCCAGCCTTAGGGGCTGTGCACGGCTATGGCAATACCCCCAATTCCAGCAAAAGCCCACAGGAGCCGCGCACCCTTTAAGGAGCATGTGGCTCCTGCGGGCTTTTCTACGAGGAGGGAGAAGGGACTGACTGGCTGCGTTAGTCCCTTCTCCCTCCTGGGGAAAAGCCCGCAAGAGCCGGGCGGAGCTTGTGTGCGGCTCTTGGGGGCTTTTCCTGCCTGCCTCCCCCCCTGTATTCGTTCCATAAGACGCACACACATTTCCCCTTACTTTTTAGGAGGGAAAAAGTGCGTCTTATGGAGCGAAAAATACGGTAGGTAGATAGATAGGTAGGTAGGTAGGTAGGTAGGTAGATAGATAGATAGGCAGAGAGATATCTCTAGATTCGTCTGGCAGGGCAAGAAGCCTCGAATAAAATTTAAGATATTAACTGATGCTAAAGAAAGAGGTGGATTTGCCCTGCCAGACCTTAAACTTTATTATGAATCAGCCGCTTTTTGCTGGCTGAGAGAGTGGCTGCTTCTTGAAAACACTGATGTGCTGGACTTAGAAGGTTTCAATAATGTATTTGGTTGGCATGCATATTTGCGGTATGACAAGGTTAAAGCACATAAAGCATTTAAAAACCATATTGTTAGAAAAGCATTGTTTAATGTCTGGATAAGATATAAGGACTTGTTAGAAAATAAAACCCCAAGATGGTTGTCACCAATGGAAGTGAAGGCTCAGAAAAAACTCAATATGGAAGCCAAATGGCTGAAATATTGGGAAATTTTGGAACAAGAGGGAGACAGACTAAAATTGCAGAGCTTTGAAAAATTAAAAAACAAAGTGCAAGACTGGCTCCATTATTACCAAATAATGGAGGCATATAATTTGGATAAAAAACTTGGCTTCCAGGTGGAAAAATCAAAATTGGAAACAGAACTGTTAGACCCCAAAATTAAGAATTTATCAAAAATGTATAACTTGCTGTTGAAATGGAACACTCAGGATGAAACGGTGAAATCAGCTATGATTAAATGGGCACAAGATGTTGGACACAATATCATGATGGCTGACTGGGAACAGTTATGGACCACAGGTATGAAGTTTACGGCATGTAATGCCTTAAGAGAGAATTTAATGAAAATGATTTATAGGTGGTATGTGACACCAGTCAAGCTTGCAAAAATTTACCATTTGCCCGAAAATAAATGTTGGAAATGTAATGAGACTGAAGGTACATTCTTTCATCTTTGGTGGAC